GGAATCGAGTGCTTGGAAAATGTGCGTAGAAAAATGTGCGAAGCCGGGATAGTAGATTCGAATCTCACATTTGATCAATTTCGTGCACCCGGCTCCCACGGCCTATGTACCAAGACGCGGAGAAACGCACATTATCCTTTCCTTTGAAACAGAGCACGAAATAGAACGAGTCATTTGCGGTTAATTAATTTCTATTTGAATAGAACGTATCTGGATGTGGTTGGGTGGGATCGGTGGAGCGGAATTAATTATTACAGCGTCCAACCTTCCCTTAGAAGGCAGAAGAAAGATGGCAAAAAAACTGGGGAGGAAAGCGCTAATTTTCCTGAAAACCATGCCGGAAATTTTGGTTTTGACCGGAAAAACAAAAACTGAGGATTCCTGGAAATATGAATCATTCGGTCGCTTGCAAACGCTGTAAAAGTATCGAGTAAAATTATCGAAAACCACCGGAGGTGGATGCGCCGGAAAAGTACGGCAGTACCCCACCCAATCCCTAGATATCAGGAGCTTCAAGCTTCTCCAATAGACAGTTCGGAACCGGAAAGGGAAAATATAAATCTTAAATTTTTCTCGTTTTAGTCGCTAAATCTTAGTTTAAGCATTTTCGCAAATTTTTACAAACAAAAATGTCGAAAAGCGGTAAAAATATGCTAGCCGTTCTAGGCAGTAGCCGTTGCTACGCGCCACGCCAAAGGACGAATGACGAATGACAAAAATCGAATTTAGCACATTTTTCAGACTAAAATGTCTTTCCTCGTTTAAACTTGGCACGCGCTCATGGTACTGAAAATGGGAGAGCTATTTTGAGAAATGTTTGCGATAAAAAAAAAGTTTTTTTTACCGAATATTGAATCGAAACTGGAATGTTACATATGGGAACAGGTGCATTAAAGCGGCTCTGGCAGCACACCGATTACGGCATTTTGGGGACCGGGCAGAGACGCAGAGTTCTGTCTGCGTCTCTCCTCTGGGCGCGCTCTTTCTCTCCCTGCCGCGACGCACCCGACCGCGACGCTTCCACGAGTCGTGGAAAAAGGGGCTTGCTGCCAGACGCCCTTTAAGTATTGCGCAAAAATGTCTTTGAAAGGCAAACCCCCCCCCGTTTATTTTTGTTATGCCGGTGTGCAAATGGAACCACTTGTAGCCAAAAAGCCATGAGCAGCCCTTTTCAAAACTCAAGCTCTTCCTCTGGAGCAGCGTCTTTTGTAGTCAGGAGCTCTTTGATATAAAAAACACACTGAAATTCGTCAAATATGCCAGATGCTACCATAATTGTGTGTAAATGGGCAGCCAGATTTCAATTAACAGAAAAATACCCGGCGAACGGGATCACTAATTTTCTATGCAATTCACGGGGGCAATTTTGTGGTTTGATGGCTGATGAAAGAACCCAAACCTTCTGTGAAAATCAGGGTGGTACATTTTTCAAAGGGCAGTTTTTTTAGAAAACTTCATTTGGAGGAACATCGAGGAGCTTGGGAGCGGCTGGCTGGAGCGCCGATACCAAGAAAGAGTCCAGTCGCAAATTTACGCTACGGGCTTGGAACTTACTTACAAGGGAACCTCAAGTTGGCACGGTGGAATTTCCAAAAACGCTCGCGGCTACCCCCGGGTTTTCAACTCTGGCGATTCCAACTCTCTAGTCAGAATCAACTATAATAATTTTGTTGTGGTCTCTGTGTGAAGCCGAATTCAACTCGAAGGGGAAAGGAGCTCGAGCTTAGCTCTCTTCGGATTCGGATAGAGCGCCGTCAGAAACCCCCAAACTGACAAAAAAATTATGAAAAAGTTTTAGTTTAAATTATTAAAATTAACTTTGAAAGTTTTTTCCTTAGTAAAAGGGGTGGGGGCCGGAGGTTGGGGTGATTTGGGACATAGTGAGCCAGGTGGCGCGCGTTTCGTGGATGAAAATTTTCACGGGGGATTTCATTTCTTTTTTTCTCTCATTCCATCCGGTCGGTCGTTATTTTTGTTTTTTAAGGGGATTTCGGCTAAGGGAGGTATCTTAAGCCATCGGGAAGGTATTTAGGTAGTTTTTGAAGGGGATTTCGGCTAGGGGAGGTATCTTAAGCCATCGGGAAGGTATTTAGGTAATTTTTGAAGGGGATTACGGCTAGGGGAGGTATCTTAAGCCATCGGGAAGGTATTTAGGTAGTTTTTGAAGGGGATTTCGGCTAGGGGAGGTATCTTAAGCCATCGGGAAGGTATTTAGGTAGTTTTTGAAGCGTATTTCGGCTAGGGGAGGTATCTAAAGCCATCGGGAAGGTATTTAGGTAGTTTTTGAAGGGGATTACGGCTAGGGGAGGTATCTTAAGCCATCGGGAAGGTATTTAGGTAGTTTTTGAAGGGGATTTCGGCTAGGGAGGTATCTTAAGCCATCGGGAAGGTATTTAGGTAGTTTTTGAAGGGGATTTCGGCTAGGGAGGTATCTTAAGCCATCGGGAAGGTATTTAGGTAGTTTTTGAAGGGGATTTCGGCTAAGGGAGGTATCTAAAGCCATCGGGAAGGTATTTAGGTAGTTTTTGAAGCGTATTTCGGCTAGGGGAGGTATCTAAAGCAATCGGGAAGGTATTTAGGTAGTTTTTGAAGGGGATTTCGGCTAGGGGAGGTATCTTAAGCCATCGGGAAGGCATTTAGGTAGTTTTTGAAGGGGATTTCGGCTAGGGGAGGTATCTTAAGCCATCGGGAAGGTATTTAGGTAGTTTTTGAAGGGGATTTCGGCTAGGGGAGGTATCTTAAGCCATCGGGAAGGCATTTAGGTAGTTTTTGAAGGGATTTCGGCTAGGGAGGTATCTTAAGCCATCGGGAAGGTATTTAGGTAGTTTTTGAAGCGTATTTCGGCTAGGGGAGGTATCTAAAGCAATCGGGAAGGTATTTAGGTAGTTTTTGAAGGGATTTCGGCTAGGGAGGTATCTTAAGCCATCGGGAAGGCATTTAGGTAGTTTTTGAAGGGGATTTCGGCTAGGGGAGGTATCTTAAGCCATCGGGAAGGTATTTAGGTAGTTTTTGAAGGGGATTTCGGCTAGGGGAGGTATCTTAAGCCATCGGGAAGGCATTTAGGTAGTTTTTGAAGGGGATTTCGGCTAGGGGAGGTATCTTAAGCCATCGGGAAGGTATTTAGGTAGTTTTTGAACGGGATTTCGGCTGTCGGGGGTATTGATGGAGGTGGGAAAGGATGTGGTGGAGTGGGACATGTAGGGTAGCCCGAAGGCCAGATGGTTGCAGTCGCGAAGCGACTGTAACCATCTGGTTTCCTTAATGGGCCTCTTGGCAGAGATACAGCACTTCCGGAAAATGATGATTTGTATCTCAAAAATTAGCATCGACGATAGGTTTATGAGGCCCGCCCATCACTATGGAATCACCAGTTGAACGGTCGAGTGGAAATTAAGGAAAAGGAAGAAACATTTAGGAAATTATGGCTAGAGCGTTGGAATCGCCATAGTCGAAAACCCGGGGGTAGCCGCAAGCGTTTTTCGAAATTTCACCGTGCCAACTTGAGGTTCCCTTGTTAGAAACGTAGCCTAGCCCCACCGTTGTTTTTTCCCATCAGTCTAGGCATTTAGCCAGCTATATTGTCGGTTTTATAAAAACGTACACAAAACGTCCAATGAAAATTTATGCTGTGGAAAGCGGTCATAAAACTGTAGTTGAAATTTTCATGAATTTGGAAAAGCCTGGTTTTTGCAGGTGGAGGCCAGGTGGTTAACGGAATCCTGAAATTTGTAGATTATCCAAGAAACCTGGCGACCACGACATCATCGCATATTCTACACATCGTATCTCAAAAAGGCAAGCTGTTGATGTATCGATGGGACGTAACTTAAGACAGTAAATCCGTAAAAAACTCGACTTCGTGGTGTCCTGATATTTTTAAAGGTATTTACAACCAGGGTTGGTCTTTTTTGACCCGGACCCGGACCCGGTCCGGACCCGGGGGTCCGGTCCGGGTCCGGACCCGATCAAATTTGCATGGGTCCGGGTCCGGGTCCGGGTCCGGTGGGTCCGGGTCATTTGCATGCCGATTTCTGGATAAATTCCACGATATTGCACGACATTTCTCACGTCTGCTAACTTCGGATGGGGGCTCCATCCGATGTGATTTGATGTTCTGGTCTCGACTCCTATATACCTGAATCATACCGGATAAACCATTATAATTAATACCGTTGTCTTTTTCCGAGGAAAATTAGAATCCTAAATCTCTATCTCAAATAAATGCAAATACGCAACTTCCGGACCCGGACCCGGACCTGGACCCGGACCCGGACCCGGACCCGTCCCCATGCAAATTTCTGCGGGTCCGGGTGGGTCCGGGTCCGGGTCCGGGTTCGACCCGGGTCAAAAATGACCAACCCTGTTTACAACCCTACAGAAGACTTTTTTGTAAAAATTTTGCACAAAACGTTAATCCGGTAATTCGCTGGATACGCGGTTTCCTATCGTAATTCTTTCTCAGGCGTTTCCGGCTGCTAAAAGGGGCGGTAAAAATTTCTCGAAAACCATGTTTTTCGGAAATCACGTTTCAAAAAGGGAAAACTTTGCATAAATTAACCTCTGTGGCCATTTCCTAGTATTAGCTAGACGCAAATTTTTTGAAATATTGATCTTGAAGACCTTACCAATGCATTTACGCAACCTTCCCTTTGATCTGCAACTACTGTGGCTCCAAAAATCTGTTGTCAGTCCGGGCTATAAACAAAAACTAGGCTTTCGGCTGAATTTTTTGGTAATAGACTATTCTAACATCTTAAGTTCTCTTTTCCAATGCCTTTAATGTGCCGATTCCGTGATCTGCACCTGTTGTGGCTCCAAAAATCTGTTGTCAGTCCAGGCTACAAACAAAAAAAACGCGGGATCCCGAGGGGTAAGCAGATGGCTGCCGGGGCGGTAAGATACGAGGTGATAACGCGTCAGTGAGGCGAAGATTAACGGGGCCACAGATTCACAGCTCCGACTACTGGAAAGTCGCGGAAAGAATCGGGCTGCTGAAGAAGATGGGCCGGCCGTTGTTGGTCTTTGTTTTCGTCGCGTTGCTGGCAGCGGTGGTGCGTTTTTGGGGTTATAATGGTCCTGATCTTGGCTTAATCTCCTCATTATTCGGCTCATCAAGCATCTGGAATCTGGCACCTGGAATGGGAAGCCCAATTAGTTTTTGGTACTATGTGATCTTTGACATTTTTTGTAAAAGTGTTTTTCTAGCAAAACTCCTGTCTATTTGTATCCTGATCGTATGCTAAATAGGATCCAAATACTGAAAAACGCCTGAAAAGGTAATAAAACGATTTGGGAGATTTTTAAGATTTTTTTCAAATGGGTAACATATATTTTATGCAAATAGATATCACCTTATTAAATAGAGAATATAATTAAATCTTTATTTACAAATGAATAGCCATTTTTTTGTGTTTTTCAAAATTTCATTGCTAATTTTTGACTGAATTTTGCCTATTTTTAGTATGTTGTCTGAAAAAACGGTATCGTTGTTGTTAGGCCTAGTTGTTGTAAAAATTAAAATATGGATGACATTCTAGGCCGCCAAGAAAGCCGTAAAGCCTCCGCCAGCCCCGTACGCTCCGGAGTGCCGCATCGACGAGCCGGACCTTTTCAAGGAGGCCGACCCGTCTCAGGTTTGTATTAGGTTGTACCATAAGTAACTGCAGACGACCTTCGGCCGCCTTTTCCGGAAAAATTTCACCATCTGGTTATCCCGTTTCTAGCCCTCTGTTTAGACTAGAAGGGTACTATATGCCCTAAAAATTTCGAAAAAATCCTGCCTGTAAAACATTTTTTATAAAGGTTTTCCCCGAGGCGCCCATCGACCCGAGGGAGCGACATCCCGGCCCCCTCTTCCTTTCGAGCCATGTAAAAATTCTTAGCACCGTAATCCCCCAAGCGTATTTTGTAATATATAATGCCAGTTTAATATGTTCTTAGCTGTGGTGCTCAATTGGCCCCACGTATTTCTAATCAGCCGATATTCATGATACTTTGGAGAAAAATTCCAATTCCCGATGCGCTTGGCTAACAGGAGCTTATCAATTTTTTGAGACGAATCAAATTAAAGCTGACTGATTACATCTAAGCAACATTTAATGACAAACATTGTCCTAATACCAGCTTGCATCACTCCCTCCTTTACTTCAACAATTTTTGCCAATTAGTGTATCAACAAGTGACCAACCCTGAAATGTGCCGGCGACACACAGTTGCGGTCGCTACTCTTTAATCATTGCCAATCAAATATTTTCTATAATTTATTATTATTGGGCATTGGTAGTAGATACTGTACTACAATTACCGATGCTCCAAACCCAAACATTCAGGGAAACAAAAATTCATGGAAAATGTACCCGAGATTCCGGGTTATGTTTCTTTGAGAGACCCATATGGAACATTTGTTTTTAAATAACCTATAGGCTTGAAGCAGCTATAGCTAAGCTCCATTTTGTTAAAACTTGCTCAAAAAGTTATCCACAAAACTCGGAGAAAACGGTCAACAAAGAAATTTGACGATTCGGGGCCCAAAAGCCGAATTTGACATCTTTCAAAAATGACCTGGAAAAAAGTCATGCTACTAGGCACCAAAATTTTGTTCAATACACTTTATAGCGCAGAAATTTCTCTATCTACTGCCGCTTATTCAGGGCGCTAGTGTTAAGATCACCCACGCTATCCGTCACGCAAACGAAATAACTCAAAAGTCGAGTTGCGCGCAGTCTTCTCTGGATAATTCGAAAAGTTGTGGGAGTCCCGGGCTATCGTTATAACTGCAGACAGACAACACATGACCCTTCATCAGCTTGAAAAATTGGAAAGAATGAATGGTGGCTTACATGAAAATTTTACGATCAAAAAACTGCAGTTACTTATGGTACAACCTAATATCTGAAATACGGCGTTTCCCGGATCTGGAAATCGGAAATGGATGTTTACCGGAACCTTGAATACGTAATTTGATCGGGGAATTAAAATGTTGTTTTTTTGCGGCTTCCCGAAAAGCAAAAACTGAGATTTTGCCGTCCGAGTTTTTGTTGTAGCTTAAAAACAGATTGCCTCTCCGGATCAGGTACTTACAAAAAAGCAGACTTGTCCGTTTTTCCATAGGCAAACGGAGATTCACATATTCAAAAAAGTTTTTTTAGGTTTCCGGAATTGAAAATTTTGCGATTTTCCTGACTGTCAATTAAAATATCACTTCCTCTCTGAATTTCCACCAATTTTACGTCGGAACGCGTCCGGTTCTTGCCGTCTTTTTGGTCCGGAAAACTCAACGGGGCCATGCGCGTTTTTGGTGATAATGGGTGTGGGAACGCATCAGCTGTCGGGCTGGGTACAGAGGGAAGAAGGTAGAAACTTCAGATCTTTAAAAACGGGGAATAATTTCGATAAGGGAAAATGCTAAAATATGGCCAAACTAGCTTATTAGTGACCTGCAAACCGGTCGAAAAGTGTCACTATTGCGTTAAATTTTATAAAGCAAAAGATGCCTTGCCTTAATGCACTAACACTACCGTACCTAACATGAAATCATTTCCAGGTCCCGTGGTTCACCATCGACCTCGATGCCCCGGCCAAGACCCGATATGCCCAGATCGCTCGCGTCTACAAGGACCAGATCCCGCCAGTTCTTGATGTGTTGCGTGTAAGTTCTTGTAAACTGATAATGTAAGATATATATTACAGATTTTTAAAATATTGGTGTAATTTTGATTATCCTCGCATAGATAGTGACCATACAAAAGCTAATCCTTAAGTTCGATTTTTTTAGCAAATGGTCGCTATGATCGTCGGAGATCTTCCGCTTTTCGAGGTCCTCGAGTCGTTCTTCCGAGACGCATTTGAGGGTGGACGCTACCCTCAGCCGTACAGAGATGAGATTCAGGCATGTATTACGATATTATAAGGGAAAGAAGAAGACAAAGCTAATACGTAAGTAAAACCTAGGATATATCGATAAACTTAGCGTATTATACACGACCAGCGGGGGAGGAGCCGCTTCGCGACTCTCCACCGCTGGACCCCGTCTAGGCCCTATGAATCGAGCGCCCTTCCACACAAAGTCACCCTGAAGAAAGGAAAACGCATTCCCACGCGAACCTATTTGTATTGACATGCGGCGCAAGCTGAAATCACTAGTGTCGTTATTAGGCCTGCGGCGCATGCTTGATCGGCTAAGTCGCTACCTCGTCCTGCGGCCCAAGCTTGAGGGATTAGCCTCATTTTTTGGCCTGCGGCGCTAGCTTGAGCGGCTAGCTTCAATCTAAAGCCTGCGGCGCAATTTTAAGCGGTTAAGTCCTTCCTTAGCCTGCGGCGCTAGCTTCAATGGTTGGCTTTATTCGTTGGCCTGCGGCGCTAGCTTGAGCGGCTGGCTTCGTTCTAAAGCCTGCGTCGCTAGCTTGAGCGGCTGGCTTCGTTCTAAAGCCTGCGGCGCTAGCTTGAGCGGCTGGCTTCGTTCTAAAGCCTGCGTCGCTAGCTTGAGCGGCTGGCTTCGTTCTAAAGCCTGCGGCGCTAGCTTGAGCGGCTGGCTTCGTTCTAAAGCCTGCGTCGCTAGCTTGAGCGGCTGGCTTCGTTCTAAAGCTTGCGGCGCTAGCTTGAGCGGCTGGTTTCGTTCTAAAGCCTGCGGCGCTAGCTTGAGCGGCTGGCTTCGTTCTAAAGCCTGCGGCGCTAGCTTGAGCGGCTGGCTTCGTTCTAAAGCCTGCGGCGCTAGCTTGAGCGGCTGGCTTCTTTCTAAAGCCTGCGGCGCTAGCTTGAGCGGCTGGCTTCGTTCTAAAGCCTGCGGCGCTAGCTTGAGCGGCTGGCTTCGTTCTAAAGCCTGCGGCGCTAGCTTGAGCGGCTGGCTTCGTTCTAAAGCCTGCGGCGCTAGCTTGAGCGGCTGGCTTCGTTCTAAAGCCTGCGTCGCTAGCTTGAGCGGCTGGCTTCGTTCTAAAGCCTGCGTCGCTAGCTTGAGCGGCTGGCTTCGTTCTAAAGCCTGCGGCGCTAGCTTGAGCGGCTGGCTTCGTTCTAAAGCCTGCGGCGCTAGCTTGAGCGGCTGGCTTCGTTCTAAAGCCTGCGGCGCTAAGCTTGAGCGGCTGGCTTCGTTCTAAAGCCTGCGTCGCTAGCTTGAGCGGCTGGCTTCGTTCTAAAGCCTGCGGCGCTAGCTTGAGCGGCTGGCTTCGTTCTAAAGCCTGCGGCGCTAGCTTGAGCGGCTGGCTTCGTTCTAAAGCCTGCGTCGCTAGCTTGAGCGGCTGGCTTCGTTCTAAAGCCTGCGGCGCTAGCTTGAGCGGCTGGCTTCGTTCTAAAGCCTGCGGCGCTAGCTTGAGCGGCTGGCTTCGTTCTAAAGCCTGCGGCGCTAGCTTGAGCGGCTGGCTTCGTTCTAAAGCCTGCGTCGCTAGCTTGAGCGGCTGTCTTCGTTCTAAAGCCTGCGGCGCTAGCTTGAGCGGCTGGCTTCGTTCTAAAGCCTGCGTCGCTAGCTTGAGCGGCTGGCTTCGTTCTAAAGCCTGCGGCGCTAGCTTGAGCGGCTGGCTTCGTTCTAAAGCCTGCGTCGCTAGCTTGAGCGGCTGGCTTCGTTCTAAAGCCTGCGGCGCTAGCTTGAGCGGCTGGCTTCGTTCTAAAGCCTGCGTCGCTAGCTTGAGCGGCTGGCTTCGTTCTAAAGCCTGCGTCGCTAGCTTGAGCGGCTGGCTTCGTTCTAAAGCCTGCGGCGCTAGCTTGAGCGGCTGGCTTCGTTCTAAAGCCTGCGGCGCTAGCTTGAGCGGCTGGCTTCGTTCTAAAGCCTGCGTCGCTAGCTTGAGCGGCTGGCTTCGTTCTAAAGCCTGCGGCGCTAGCTTGAGCGGCTGGCTTCGTTCTAAAGCCTGCGTCGCTAGCTTGAGCGGCTGGCTTCGTTCTAAAGCCTGCGGCGCTAGCTTGAGCGGCTGGCTTCGTTCTAAAGCCTGCGTCGCTAGCTTGAGCGGCTGGCTTCGTTCTAAAGCCTGCGTCGCTAGCTTGAGCGGCTGGCTTCGTTCTAAAGCCTGCGTCGCTAGCTTGAGCGGCTGGCTTCGTTCTAAAGCCTGCGGCGCTAGCTTGAGCGGCTGGCTTCGTTCTAAAGCCTGCGGCGCTAGCTTGAGCGGCTGGCTTCGTTCTAAAGCCTGCGGCGCTAGCTTGAGCGGCTGGCTTCGTTCTAAAGCCTACGTCGCTAGCTTGAGCGGCTGGCTTCGTTCTAAAGCCTGCGGCGCTAGCTTGAGCAGCTGGCTTCGTTCTAAAGCCTGCGGCGCTAGCTTGAGCGGCTGGCTTCGTTCTAAAGCCTGCGTCGCTAGCTTGAGCGGCTGGCTTCGTTCTAAAGCCTGCGTCGCTAGCTTGAGCGGCTAGCTTCGTTCTAAAGCCTGCGTCGCTAGCTTGAGCAGCTGGCTTCGTTCTAAAGCCTGCGGCGCTAGCTAGAGCGGCTGGCTTCGTTCTAAAGCCTGCGTCGCTAGCTTGAGCGGCTGGCTTCGTTCTAAAGCCTGCGTCGCTAGCTTGATCGGCTGGCTTCGTTCTAAAGCCTGCGGCGCTAGCTTGAGCGGCTGGCTTCGTTCTAAAGCCTGCGGCGCTAGCTTGAGCGGCTAGCTTCGTTCTAAAGCCTGCGGCGCTAGCTTGAGCGGCTAGCTTCGTTCTAAAGCCTGCGGCGCAAGCTTGAGCGCAGTTTTGAAGGGCTAGCTCTGACCTTGGGCCCGCGGCGCTAGCTTCCCCGGCTAGCTTCCTTCCACAGCCCACGGCGCTAGTTTCAGGGGCCGGCCTGAACCTTTATCCTGCGGCGCTAGTTTCGGCGGCTAGCGTCGTTCCAAAGTCTGCCGCGCTAGCTTGAGCAGTTAGCTTGATTCCTTGGCCTGCGGCGCATGCTTGAGCGGGTAGCTTCATTCTATAGGCTGCGGCTTGAGTGACTAATTTCATAATAACGTCCCTACACGGAAATCTACTGCGAAACGCACTTTCCGAACAAAAAGCAAAACAACTAAAATATCCGAGGATCGAACCTCCGATGGTTGGATTAGCAAGGCGAAGCGCTAACCACTACACCATGCAATGCTTGGCAGCACGCGTAAAACACCCCTTTTATGTCTCAAGAGGACTGCCCGGGCAGGGGAAGGCATCGAAAGGCAGATCCAAAGAGACGACTAAACTCGCGAGTGCAACTGGCAAGAATGAGGAAATTTGTATTTTCTCACGTTATGCAAATTAGCCCTCCCGGACCCCCAAAAATCAATAAAACCGGCTTTAACTTTGTAAAATTGTATTTTATCGGGATTATGAAAGCGCCATCGGAAACAGGAGGGTCGATTCCCCCGGATGACGGAGAATTAGGGCATTTTGAACACGGGAAGGCCCTCAAATCGGGCCTCGAAAGTGACATCCACACACACACACACACACAGAGATACACTCCCAAATTATATAAGGTAGGATACTCTAGAATCATTGGCATGGCCCACCAAGTACACCGGAAACCGCAACTCCACTAACTTTTTAGGGAATCGCCGATGCCTCCGGTGTCCCCGTTGAACAAATCGCGATGATGAACGTCTTCTACGAATTGTCCCGTTATTGCACATCCATCGTTGCCGAGGACGCCACCGGTGGAATGTGGCATGGACGGTAAGCCTTTTCAAAATTTTCACAACGGCTTTGTGTTTTAGTAACCTCGACTTCGGCCAACTCTTTATCTGGGACGTCAAGGATCAGTCCTGGGGGCTGACTGAGGCCTTGAAGAAGGTCACCATCAACCTTAATTTCATCAAGAATGGAAAGCTGATGTATAAGGGAACGACTTTTGCTGGACATACCGGAATTATCACTGGTAAGTCGTGAGTATCGCTCTCTTTCGCTCTCTCTCTTTCTTTTTCTCTCTCTCTATCGCTCTCTCTCTTTCTTTTTCTCTCTCTCTATCGCTCTCTCTCTCGTCGTATCGTAGCCGCGCGTAGGAGCCGTGCCGTACGGGCCGTGGCGCAGCGCGGCGTAGTATATCGTGTCGTCGTAGTGTCTCAGCTTAGCATTTCCTAGAGTACAGCATTGTACGGTACTGCGGCGTAGTATTTTGCATCGTCTCGTGGTGTAGCATATCGTAGAGCACTTTTTGTGACGTACCGTAACGCAGTATCGTCTCCTAGCTGAGCTTCAAATAGTTTCGTATCGCAATGTATCGCGCCCTATCGTACTTTATCATAGCGTATTGTCGCGTACCGTGTGTAGGACTACGGATCATAATGTAGCGTAGCGTTTTTGCATTGGACCTTTACCATTCTGTATCGTGTTGTATCATA